AGAGAGAGAGAGAGAGAGAGAGAGAGAGAGAGAGAGAGAGAGAGAGAGAGAGAGAGAGAGAGAACAACTCGGTAGTTTAAATGAATCCAGAGTGCAGAGTGAGTCCAAGAATTTTTCTATGAAGGTATAAATAAAGAACACCTCCTGGTATTGGTGGGCGGTATTGGAGAGGATGTTTCTGAGTTCAGTTATGAAGGGTTGGCTAGTGAGCAGGGCATTATTTAATCTGTAGAAGCTCTTACCAGTGAGGCCGGACTTGGTGAATCTGAGCATGAGATTGATGGCCTTATGGTCTAGTCCTGTGTGGTAGGGAGAGCTTCCAATATTGCAGTCTATTATGGCACCCGTGATGGATTCAGATGTGAGGAAGAAGTCTATCCTAGAAAAGGAGGTTCTGCTATTTGAGGTTCTTCTTATGCATGTAAATCTTTTGATGCCCGGGTAGAGTAGGCGAAAAGGATCTAATAGGTTTTTCCTGAGTATGAAATCAGACAACTCCTGGCTAAGCGACGCCTGGGAGTCGTCAATTGAGTTGGAAATTCTGTCCACAGAATGGTTCTGGGTTAGGTTCCCGTCTCCCATGATGATTGTATGTGTGTAGTTGGGGATTAAGTGTTCTATTGACCGCAGGAAGGGTCCTTTATCTTGGTAAGCGGTCGGGCCGTAAAGCTCCAGAATGGTAAAATCTTCTTCCTTGAATGTGATGTCTAACTTTACCCACCTACCTGTAGCATTGTCTTGACTATAGTTGCCGATTGTGATGTTGTGATTAGCTGGGGAGTTTTGGTGGAGAAGGATGACTGTACCTGCAGATCCATTGGGAGTTGCGTGTGAGCATATCGCAGTTTTAACGAATTTTAACTTTTGTTCAATACCAAAGCGAGGACCTCTTCACCTCATTTCCGAAAATTATCAGCGAAATAAGTAAAAAAGTATCAATAATATCAAGAAAGCTTGCTGCACGAAGAAAGGAAAAACTAGAGATGTTAAAAGATGCAATAGAAATAGCAGAATTTAACTTACAACATAACCCGACCTCAACACTCCTCATAGACCTACTAGCCAAGACACAGGAGGAAGTATCAGATTGGACAAAATTCCAACTCAGAGGACTGCAACTAAGAGCCAGAGTTAGAGATTGGGAAGTCAACGACAAAATGACCAAGTATTTCTTCCAAAAGATTAAATCAAACTCTAGGAACTCTAAGATAGAAAGCCTCATCGACAATCAGGGTAACCCTACATCAGAAACCACAAACCTAGTCAACATAGCGGCCACCTTCTATAAAGACCTCTACACCGGCAAATCTCCCTTGGACAAGGTCCAATGAAGCAGCCAGAGCCAGATCTAAATTCCTTTCCCACCTAGGACACTCACTCTCACAAGATTCAACAGACAGATTGGAAGAGCCCATCACACTGGACGAATTACACAAAGCACTTCAAGATCTAAAACCCAGCAAAGCACCGGGCAAAGCTGGTCTCTCCAAGGAATTCTGGATGGAGAGTTGGCACACCCTGGGAGCCCTTTTCCTTCGCTTCCTGAACAGAGCATGGGAAGAGGAATCCCTCGGCCCAGACCTGAGCACCGGAGTAGTCACCATTCTCTACAAGAAAGGTAGCAAAGAAGATATTCGGAACTACAGACCCATCTCCCTACTAAACGTAGTCTACAAAATCCTAGTCAAACTTCTAGCCACAAGGATAAACAGTATAACAAACTCCTGCTTCCATATAGATCAAACAGGCTTTATCCCGGGTAGATACATCCTCGACAATGTAATGACCCTATGCGAAACCACAAGAATCCTAAGTCAAAAGAAAATTACAGCAGCCCTATTATACTTTGACTTCGAGAAAGCCTATGACCAAGTCAACTGGTCTTTCCTACAAGCCTGCATGGAGAAAATGGGAATAGGCCCGAATTTCCGAAAATGGGTGAGAATCCTATACAACGATGCACAGGGCATAGTCCAAATCAACGGATTCTTGTCCAACCCTTACAAAATGACCAGATTAGTAAGACAAGGAGACCCACTGGTGACACCTATTTTCCTCCTTGTTATGGAAGCCATTGCATCATTCCTCATAAATGACGAATCCATAGAACGTTTAGAGGGCATCAAAGACGAAAGAGAGCACCCACTTCATCTACCAACCACCCTCCTCTTCGCAGACCACCTAACAGTTCTTATCAGAGCTTCTGATTCTTCTTTTCAAGCTTTAATAAGGGCAATGCAAGCATTTCAACTAGCTTCAGGAATGAAAGTTAACTAGAGGAAAACAATAGGTTGGTGGCTATCAGACACCATGCCCCCTCTAGAAACCTCGCCAGAAGGAATGCAATGGGCTAATCCCTCTTCCCCCATGCGTTTCCTGGGTATAAACCTTAGCATTAAAGGCTGTCATCCATCCTCGGCTGCCTCCCTTGGGTCCACAATGATAAACAGGATGAACTGTTGGCAAGGTGTACATACCTCACTCCTAGGTAGAACACTAGCTCTCAACAACTCAATTCTAGCAATGATGTGGTACGTAACCACCATATGGTTCCCTTCCCCGGACTTTCAAAACTAATACGTAAAAGAGCAGCCGCTTTCCTTTGGACCGGTAACCCAGACAATCAGCACTTCATCCACAAAGTATCCTGACAAATAGTCACGCAGGCCGAAAACAAAGGAGGATTAGGTATCATAGATCCAGCTAGCCAGATTCAAGCCCTACATATCAAATGGATCATCAGACTTACCCTTCAAGGCAATCTACCCTGGATACAACTTACACTCTACCACTTAAGAAAGCTGGCACCTTTCACATCCCCCCCCAACATGTCAGGACTCTTTTGGATCTTCAATAAACAGTGGACCCTTCCGAGAACCACGAAAGCCACAAGTGATGAACAAATCCAAGAAGAAGAGCAGGCCAATGACTACCCTAAAACCTTATGGGAACAACTAATACAAACGTGGAGAAAAATTTTCCCTGATAGCAAGGTCGGACCAAAAAGGAGGGACGAAGTACTAAGACAACCCCTATTCGGCAACCCATGGATTATGGACGAACGCGGGGAATCCCTCCCACTCAACAAAACAAACTCCAAATGGGGCCTATGGCTAGAAAAAGGGGTTTGGCAGATGGTGTACAGCAGGGGAACTAAGAACGGAACTCAAAGGAAACCATAACCTTTATTCTAACTTATCTCACATCATAGACTCCATCCCAATAGAATGGAGAAAGCTACTGAAAAATAAGCAGCAATGGCTCTGGGGAGATTGGGCTGCAACCAAAGATCAAGGGCAGCCTCAGGAGGTACTTAAAATTTTAGAACCAGAACTTCACCACAATAAATGGATCCTCTGCTCCATCTTTTCGCTAGAGGGGCCAGACAACCCTGCAAGTCTTATCTCCCAAGACCCGAATGCAGAAGGCGTTTTCAGAATAGACAGAATCAGAAGGGTAAGAATCATAGGAGGGGAAAGAAATAGAGCATACAAACCGGATACAGCAATACAACACTTAGAAATAGACCCTATAGAATGGTCATGGAACACCCCCAGCATACTTTCGCCTGCAGCTAAGCGATATGCCTTAACAGACTACACACCCAGACTTGGATATAAATTATTCAACAAACCTCGGCCAATTTCAACAATAATAAAAAAAAGATGGGATAAGCACGAGAGCATTCTCGAAGGTTCATCAGTACACCCACACTGGCCCACAATCTTCAGCACTCGACCGGCCAAACTGGCCAGCCTCCTCTGGCTCATAGCATTCAGAGCAGTCCCAGTAAATCAATGGCTTGCCCAGAGAAGAAGTAAGGAAAGAAGAACAGACGAGTCAACCTGGTGCAAGGTATGCAACACACAATCCGAGGAATCTCTCAATCATTGTTTCTTAGATTGTGAACACGCAAAACAGTTGTGGCTAGACATAGAACTCTCATGGAATTCTCTATCCAATAGAAACGTACTCATCAACCCCTCTACCATACTCCTTCACTCAGATCAATCCCCAACTCTAAAAGGCTTCGACTACGTCCTCTTCTTGCTAATCAGAAAAGGCACCCTATGGGCCATATGGAAAAGACGTTGCCGTCTAACCTTTAACGAACACCACAACCCCCCAGAGACTCCCCTAATTACCATCAAACAGACAATTGAAACAGAAATCCTAGCTCTATGGAAAAAGACCCTAAAGCAAATCCAGATCCTTCCGGACAAAAAGAAGAAAGTATCAAAAAATTCTCAATCGGCAAGCTAGGCAGCGGCAAAT